CCGTCCATTTTACTAATCACTCACCCAAACCCCCCTATATATATCCCTTCGGCAGCGAACCATTTACAGCATTTTTCCGCTTTTGTGAAACATATAGGTAACATTAGCATGTTTTACTTTGTTCAGTGCAGCCTTTTTTGTTGTTTTTCTCATCTTGTGTTCTATTTGTAATTTTTATTTTCATTATTATCATGAATCAATTTCGTTCATTTGTATAATACAATGGTGCTAACTAAAAATATAGGTGCAGACAGTTTGACTTTTGAAGGACAAAAAAGAGCAATGTATATTGATCGATATATGTCTTTTGAAGAATTAAAGGAGAAGATTCGTCAAAAGTTGAAACTCCAATAAAATCAAATACTATCTTCATTGACAGGTAGGGTCCCTAATGGAAACCGCAAATTTGTGGGGTTTGATATACCTGATGATGAGGACGTGGATGTTTTTCTTAGAACATTCGTGGATAATTCTACGTCTAAATTTCTTGAGTTATATGTGGATATTGATACATCAGATCGGATGTATCAGTACCGATTTGTGGACTGGACCTTAATAGTCAATCACAATATGTATCATCTTCTGCACCCCAGCCTACACAATCAAATATTGCTGATGGAGAAGATAACAACTTATGGTAGGCAGAGAAGTTGAGAATGAGGAGGAAGAGGAAGATGAAAACACTCTATTGGCTAATGACCATGATCAGAATGATAGCGATGTAGCTGAAATAGTTGATGAAGATTGCCCGTGAATATTTTTGTCTCTGCGTATTTCCAAGATCATGCAGTAATAATTTAGAATGTAGATTCTATCAATTTTGACGTGACCTCGAGAAAAAAAAAAGTATGGCTATTAATCTCTATATCGTGATGAGAAATCAGTTTGGTGCAAGGGTAAAAATAAGTTAAAAAATTCTAACGTATGTTGAAAACTCGGTTCCCTCAACTCGGCTAAGAAGCCTTTGCAAAAGTCAAATATCGAGCTAGGAGCTCGACTCTTCAATCAGAGATTGACCTGAATCACCAAGTCGCCCAGCGCAACGAAAAAAACACAGAGGAGAGAGAGAGAGAGAACACAAGCGGATTTTAGTGTGGAAAAACTTTCTCCATTGAGAAGAAGTAAAAAGCTTCTTAGCCGAGTTGAGGGAATCAAGTTTCCAACAATTGGTATCAGAGCTAATGGTGGATTGGCCTGTGGTAATCCGAGTATGTCGATGTGGAAAACCAAGGTCTTTATGAGTGCAGCCATGCAAGCCTTGATGAAAGAGCCAATGTTGTTTGGAGAGAAGCCAAGCATTGATGAACCCCATGAATACTCGAAGAAGCTTCTCCCTGAGAGGGAAAGAATGTGGGCCTAGGACTCATGCTTGAGGGGGATGTTGAAGAATCCAAGTGTGAATGATTGAGTGGAAAAGTCCCACATTGCTTAAGAATGGACTAAGTGAGAACCATATAAGTGGAAGGTCCCATGCACCTAATGCTTTAAGGTTTTGGATTTGATTGTGGTGTTTCAAGCCCACTTAATGTAGTTGCTCACTTGGCTCATGGTTGACGGTCTCTCCCCGCCATAAGCTCCTCTGAAAGGCTCAACAAGGTAAGTTGCCAATACATTTTTACTGTTAAAATTAATCTGTGGATTTTTGACTTTATTCTTATTGTCAATACCAAACAGACCGTACGCTGTAATAGCGTGGTTCAACTTTAGTGGTAAACAACATAAATTATACTATTGTTATGAGCTTTATTTAAAATTATCGAGTGGTTCAAATATTGTTTGAAAATAATTTGTAAGAATTAACGAAGGACCTCCTACATAATTGTTTTGAAGATGTCAAAGTCTAATAAAGGACTCAAATTGAAGATAAAGCAAATTATTTGGTTAGATTGATTGTAACACACTAGATATATCATTAAGTAACATATCAAGCTCCAATGTATTTCATGCATCTTACATTCTTTTGTATTTGATGTTGATAACTTATTGCATCTTAACTGATGTGAATTTGAAGCTTGAAAAATTGTTTGAGATTGATTAATATGCATTGAAAGTTGTTATGCAAAAGTTATCTTTCTTTAAAAGGTTGAAAATATGAATTTTTTGAATTTTAGTTGTTGGTCGATGAAATGCTCGATGCAGCGAGAAAATCATTGAGCTGACAAATTTATCTCGATGAAATGCTTGATGTTGCGAGCAAAACATCGAGCAGATGTGAAAATTGGCTTTTAAACACATTGCATATGTTTTATCTTTATAACTTGAAATCTATCTCTCTCTTTCTCTCTACGAAAAAGAAAAACTTTTCTCTCTCAAAAAAAAAATCTCCAAGAACGAAAATTATTTTTGAGTGAGTGAATCATTGAAACATTGAAGCTACATTGTGAGTAAGAGTGATTCATAGTGTTCTCTTCATCTTTCTCTAAAAATCCCCAAATCTTCATCAACAATCTTCATCTCTTGAACCCTAAACCTTTTGTACCATTGTTGATGAGTTTCTTGATCGGTTTATGAGTCAAGGTAAGGTGATTTGAAGTATTGTTCATTATTCTACAAGATTGAAGGATTGGAAGCAATTAATTCAAGATTCTTGGAACCAAAGTTGAGGAACCCTAACTACATTCTCTGTTTCTCTTTGCTGAAAATTTGAAAGCTATTGTGATAATATTTTAAACCTTGTTTTGAGCATCCTTTGGTATACTCTTGATTCTTGATATTGTTGATTTGATTTTATGATTTCTTTTTGATAAATTGCGAGTATTCCTATTTCTCTGTTTTGATTATGAGTGAACATATTTTAGAAATCATGATGTTATTTGTTTAAGATTTGTGTTTCAAATTTTTGTGAAAGATCGATTAAAAAATCTCAAATCTGAATTTGTGTTTATACCTTGTTATACACTGTTTTAATTCATATTTTCTTTTGAGATTCATTGTTTAGAAACATAATCTTGAATTATTCTAGAAATTTTATTGTTGGAATATTAAATCTGAATTTTCTGTTTTAATTGAGATATATTGTGCTCAAAATTCAGATTTCATATGTTTATCATTAAGAGATTTATCTAGAACTAATTCTATAATTTTGTGAAATTTTTAGAGAAATTACAAATCTGATTGGATATAGTGTGATATATAGTTTCTATTTAAATCAGAATTTTTAGTGTCCATCATCATTTAGATACTTGATATTATTACATACAAGTTCCTTATTGCTGAAAATTTGCACTTTGTGATACATATATTTGTGTTCTAAATTTTTTGCATTACTCATATCATTTTGGTGCTTGTTGTTGTGCCTTATTTGATATATCAAGTGTGATAAGACATTGTAATAAGTTGATAGATTTTTTGTTATAAATTTGAGATATTGTATTGCTTGTTTAAAGTGAAGTGTGCGTGTGTGAAAAATAATCTGTCCTAGGTGTGTAGGTGCAATCGAGTGGGTTGGCAACCTTGTGCTTGACTGAGAATGTGTCTCAAGGCCTGGGGCCTCAAGAATTCATTGGGCAGAGTGGAGGTCTTGTGTGAGGGAAGTTGGTGAACTCCTTAGGTTCGGCTTGAGAGTATTCTTAGAGCTTGGAGTAGTGTAGGCACTAGGAAGATTTTTGATATTTTGTTTAATTGCTATTGTGACGCGTGTTTGTAAAACAAGTACACTCGTGATAAATAAAATATATGCGGCTACTTCAGTCTGGATGTAGCACCCTAGTTAGGCTGAGGGGGTGTGAATTAGGATATATCATGTGTGCCTTGTCTATTTGATTTAATTTCTGAATATTCTGTTTAGAGACTTAAAGTAACACTGATTTCTGATTTGAAAGTGCTATAGCGATTTTTTGGTGACATATTAAAAGTGCTGTAGTAGAATTAATATTTTCTGTTTTGTTTAAGAAAATTGCGTTGCTGCGTTTATGCTCTGTAAATTGCTAAGGTACGTTTTTTGTTACTACTTTGTTCTTAGCATTGTGAAAAATTATTTTGGACATATAGGAACTGAAGAAAAATTATGTGATTGTTTACTGAATTCAAATATTAATATAAATTGATTTCTGTCAACTAGTTAGTTGGTGTGGTAATTGAGCTTAATTGTTCAACTTTGTCTAGACTTTACAGATTTAAAGATCTACTAAGAAAAAAAAATTGAAAAATTTAAAAACACCTATTAACCCTCCCTCTAAGTGTTCTTCCAGATCCTATGTAAAGAAGCCACTTGCCCAACAATTAATAGTTTTAGTATTTTCAAAAAGAAGAAGAAGAGGTTTTATACACAAAAAAATATATTGATATCTAGAGTGCATTTGGTCAATGATAATATTAGAAACTTAATATTTCACTAAAAAATCTTCAGTAAACGAATACACATATTTCAAATTTATTCCGTATTATTGAAACTTGAGGGAAGTGTTTATGTAGGGAAGTGTTTCCGTGGGCAAGTACTTGTACATGAACATGAACTACTCCCTACATAGACATTTTCACCTCCAATGTAAAAACGAAAAATAAAACAAAATATAATTTATTAAAAAATTTATAAAATGAAGGTGGACAAACATACATTTATTAGTAAGTGATGCATGCACTTACGGCACTGAGTCACAAGTAGATCTTACAATATCCCAACATCTTATGAATTTTTAAGTACTAATAATCAAAAACTCCTTGGAATTTTGCAGAGGCGGATAGGATTCTCTAACACTATACAATGTATAGAAATAAGAAAATCTTTTTCTAAAAATTTACGCAAAGTTATATCTGGTGGGGAGGAACACACAAAAAAAAAAGAAGGCTTGTGCTCTTGGAACGACATGCCCCCAAAGAACAAAGACCAAGAATAAAGAAAGCTTCATATGATGTTTGTTTCGAACCGACTATTGTTTGGCAATAGATATTTTACTTTAGGGGCAACAACAACATCACTTTCGCAAGAGAAATTTTATTTTATTTTTGAAATTTATGCTTGTTGAACAAGCAAGATGACTCCATGGATCACTCTATAAAAACAGGGTGATGTTGGCTAAGGAAAACACAAGCAAGGATGGCAGAGGTGAAGCTACACGGATTTTGGTATAGTCCCTTTACTTGGAGGGCTGTGTGGACCCTAAAGCAAAAGGGTATACCATATGAGAACATAGAGGAAGACCGCTTCAACAAGAGTCCTCAACTCCTTCAATACAACCCAGTTCACAAGAAGACTCCAGTGCTAGTTCATGCTGGAAAACCCATATGTGAGTCAATGATTATTGTTGAATACATTGATGAAACATGGTCACAGAACCCATTGCTTCCTGCTGATCCCTATGAGAGAGCTCTTGCACGGTTTTGGGTCAGATACGCCGATGACTTGGTACATATTTATAAACCTTATCTTATGCATTTTTCTAGTCATTCCATCATGTGGTCATCATGAGCATCTGTAGTTACAAAATTCATGTTCAGTTTACCTTTCAGCTATATAATTAAACTTAGTGTACCTTGTTTTTTTTTCTCATTACTTTCTATGCTCTGAAATTCCTATATTGATTAAAAGTGAAAATAATATTATATATGGGTCAATTTTTAAAGATTTCTTCAGTTGGGGCACTCTTCCTTAGTACTAGTGAAGAGCGGGAGAAGGCAATAGAGAAGATCTGGGAGCATCTAAGAGTTGTTGAGAATAACTGCTTTGGTGAAGAGAAGAAATTCTTTGGGGGAGACACTATTAACATTGTTGACTTAGCTTTTGGGTCCGTTGCAAAATTTATTGAGATTGGGGAAGATATCTGTGAAGTGAAGGTCATAGAAGCTGAGAAACTCCCTCGCTGGCATTCATGGTTTAATAATTTCAAGGATGTCCCAGTCATCGCAGAAAGCCTTCCTGACCATGAGAAAACGGTAGCTTGTCTCAAGTCTATCATAGAAAAAAGTTTGGCAGCTTCAAGGAAACGTTAGCTTTTATGAAGTGATAAATATAATAAATTATTTGTATCTTTGTGTCTCATCTCTCTCTCTCTCTATATGCGTATTTCTATGTTATCAACCTCTATGTTTGGGTTTGTCTTCTTAATATACTCGGAAGAAATAAAAGTTTAAGCTGGTTGTATTTGCTTTGATATTAAATCTAGTTTGCTGGAATATCAAATTTCAATTCAGTTTACCCAAATATCTCATATTAGTTTTGCTTGTTGAGATGAGTTTTTGTGAGAATAGATTCTCTCATATTTAATTTTAGGGTTCGTTTAGTCAATGTAGATAAGTTATGATATTGAACCCAAAACGATATTATTTTAGGGCAGAAATCAAGATATTTTTGTAATTATAATTATTTCAAGGCTATAATAGTTTTTCTAATTATAATTTTTAAATTTTTAAATATAAAACGATGTCATTTTGAAAGTAAATATAAATAACTCATCTCCATTCACACGGTAGAAACCTTAAAGCCTTAATTTTAATATAACAATGTTATGTGATGAATTTTAACTATTCAATAAGAAATAAATTATTATAATTTTTATAATAAAATTTATAAAATAAAAAAGAAAAATATTGAAATTAACTACTGACCATCGAATTAATAATGAATGATTGAGATTTGTATGACCTAGTCATGTTAAAATTAAAAACGAGAGAATGTACGTTTTTCCATATTCTTTTAAATTTTTCTCTTTTTCTATTAAATAAAATAACAAAATAAATTTTTGACATTTCTTTAAGAGTATAATTTAAAAATAAATATAAAAACTCTTAAAATTGGACTTATATCTATGGAAAAAGTGTTTATTCTTTTGAACGACAAAACTTATATCATTTAATTCTCACAAAGAGGTAAGATTCACACCTTTATTTTTTTGTCAACTCTCTCTGCTCTTTTATCTATCTCTTTTTTTCTCTTAAAATAACACAATTTTACATACTTTAAAATGACATACACTATTCCCTATATATATTAAAAAAAAACTTGTCCCGAAAGTTTTTAGCTTTTAACTTTTTTTCCTTATTAAAAAAAAAAACTTTTTTATGATTGATTGCTACTTTCACCCCCTCAAATTCAAGTGACCCACATAACTCATATTATATTTTGACCCAAAAAATGAATACAAGTTGGGTCTTTCAATCTATTCCCAAAAATGTGAGACTCTCTATCACTCAATTTTTTTAACAATTTACTCTCGAAATCGTGAGAACAAATATTAGAATGTTAAAGGAGGGGTTTTAACCACACCTATATGTTACAAGAGAGATCACAAAGAGGTATCAAGAGACAAGAAAAAACAGTGAGCGAATATTTTTGCAAAAGAAGGAAAATCGAGATTAGCTGGTTCTTGCGATTTACCCAAGAATGCAGAGGAAGAGTAAATGAAACTTCCGTCGCCCACAGAAAATGCAAAACCCGTAATCCTTTGCCTCTGTTTTATTTAAAAGGTAGTAAACGACATAAAAGCATCAAAACCATGGTTCACTATTTTTTAGTCAACCACATAATCTTTTTGAGATACGTTTATTTAATATGTTTTTTCGGATTAAGAGGCCGGCGTTTTGACCATTGTGCCTCTTTTATTAAAAATAAAAGTTGTTGACTAACTCTTCGTTTAATTTATGTATCTAACTTGTTCTTAGTAGTTAATCTTATTTTCATCCAATTTTATTAATAAATTAAAGGTATTCAATGTAAGAATGTGACAAAGCAACAAAAAGAAAAAAATAACAACAACAACAATAATAGAGAGAGAATATTGAAATTAAAAAGAATAAGTCATTTTCCTTTTTATTTTAATTCAAATAATAAATTAACCATGAGCGATTGCTAATTTGCTATGAAACTTTAGTCTAATATATAATATATTTTGAACTTGTTAAAATTAAGTAAAAATGTTGTAATTATATATTTGAATTAAATTATATTTTTAATTCATTCATAGTTCAGAAGAACTTTGGATATAGATTATATAAATTATTAGAAAGATTAAAAACATTTCATTAAAGCTTTTAACAATTTGTAATGTAATTTTTCCTTTAATTCTCAATTACAATATATACCTGTTGGAACTCTTAGCAAGAATTACAACTTTTAACCAAAAGAATTGGTTCAAGCAATAGATGTTGATCCACTTAAATAAGGTCTTGAGTTTAAGTCTTTATGAATGCAAAAATTATAGCTTTTAACCAAAATAATTGGTTAAGTGATATTTTCCTCAGTGATCTTTTGTGATATTATCCACTGTGAATAGCCATACCTACGAGCATCTTTGCCTTCGATACCCCCGCTCAGGTTCTCTTTTCGTTTGGGTTCAATGTTTTCTTTAAACCCATATTATTATTTTAAAAGAATGATAGACCAATACAGAGGTTTGTTGTTTGTCATGATTCCGTTAGCTTTTTCGATGTAGTGTTTGAAAATTTGCATGACCATTTGATTCCTTTATCGTTAGCTTTTAGGTGTATTCGGGGAAATATTTTTAATGATTCACTAAACAAACCCATAAGCTTATGATTCTAGTGTCGAATATTTTAATGTTTTTAATAGATCACTAGACATATAGATCTATAAGCATGCATGATACTAATAATCTATTGGAAATATCTTGATAACAGCATACATCATCTTGCTAATTTTATTTTTGGAATTTCTTTTTTAAAAATTGTATTATTATGATCTATATTATTAACAGCGCACTAACATCTCTTTATATCTTAAGTGTATAGTGTTGTATTATTTTTTTTTGTTGAACTACATAATGTAATTACACTTTATGGAAATTGATTAAAATGTTAATAAAAAAGAGAAAAAAATTAATATAAAAAATACGATAGTAACGTCAAGCTTATTATAAAAGGGGTGTTGCGACTCGGCAAGTGCATCGGTCGTAAAAGTAATAAAGTGTACTGAGTACGAGATCGTTCCCACGAGAATTGGGTTTTCAAACACTAATTCTCTAATCGCGATTTAATTGGACAATCAAGATTGAGATTAAGAGAGTTGAAATTGAAAACAACTAATAACATGTAAATAAAAATTCAGAATTAAAAAGAACAATTGAAAAGATGATTGATTGATTAAGAATTTAAAAACAAGCGTAGTTAGGGTTTCGACTTTCCCAAATCTCCTCTATATGCTATGTGTAAGAACCCGCACCGTTAATTAAAGAATTTAATTAATTAATTATGAGATTAATGAGATAATTCCATAATTAACCCTAATAATTATGAGAAGGCTCAAATAATTGTAGTAAGTGATTAATAATGTTGAAAGTCGCTTTTCTGACGAAAAGTGCAGATACCGGTTCTGCTCCACTGTATAAATGTGTACCGACGAAGTATCCCGGAAAATTATGAAAAGTATGTATATGTCACTATAATAATATATAGGACAAGCATAACAAGTTTCAGGTCAAAATAATGAGAACTGGTACCAGAACTGATACTGGCTATGTAAAAGCGCGTACCGGAAAAGTACTGAGAAAAATAAAATAAAAATATGAAAAATCTTAGAAAAATGGCTAGGTTCAGAATCCTAAGTTTGAGATTAAAATGCTAAGCGTAGCTATTAGTGCTAATACTGGGTGTTTAAACTTAAATCGCCTATATATACTTATTTTGCACTAAACCCTAGGTATTTTTCTGTTGCTACGTGACTTGGGTGGCTGACCAACTCCCACACACTGTTCCATTCCCTTCCCTTCTTCATAGTGTGAGCCTAGAGGCCATTTCTTCCATAGAGTCTTCACCTAAACACTTGTGTGATTGAGAGTTAGCATTGTGAGTGGGGAGGAGCCACCATCTCTGAGTTTGTGACCTCTGTATGTGAGGAGGAAGGTCTGAGTTTATTGTTTGGGTAGAGTGAGAGCATCCTCTTGGGTTGTTGAGGCTTCAAGAAGCCATTTTTGGTAAGAAATGACCTTGCTTGCTTTTCTTTTTCGTTTCCTTGTGGAGTCAGAACTGTGAAGGCTGATTTGAGAGCTCAAAGAGCCACCTTGTTTCTGCTTTGAACCTTGGGTAAGCTTTACCTACCTTGATCATGAGTTTTCCTTGTTTAAAGGTTGAGTCTTGGCATGTTAATGAGTTGAATAAGTAACCAACCTGAACATGAACCTAATAGTGAATAAAAATGCATGCTTGGACGTTAAAATGGGTTAAAGGTTGAGTCTTGTATGGATATCTTCGCGAAATGCAGAAACTGCATTCTGTCGCGAAATATCCGGATATTGATATCCGGATATGGGCCTGATGATATCCAGATATGGTATCCGGATATAGATATCTGTATATGGCCCCGACATATATCCGAATATTCTGAGAATTTCGAGACAGTAACTGCACTGTTCATACAAAATGATATTTTGGGTTTGTGGACCCATGATTGGCTAATGTGGACTTATGTAATAATTAATCTAAGTCAGAATAATAGGGATTAAGGGCTTATGACTTTGCGAGAAGCCTAAAAACACGAAACGTAAAAAGAAGGCGTTGTCTTTATGTCATATGCTTGTAGAGTATGAATATTGATATGATATTGGTCACAAACAGATTGTGATTGTGCTGTGTGTGGACTTTGAGCGGTGTGGACCTTGGATTGGATTGATTGCTTAGAGGTAAGCTTTCGTGTCCTCGGTTTAGCCATTGTTGATTCCATCATACCCCATGGGGGAATGGTTTTATGCATGATGTGTTTTCATGTTTTGATGATTGAAATGCTTTTGAGCTGTTAAGTGCAAGGGTCTTAAAATATACATGTGTTGTTCCATCTAGACGGTAAACCTGAGTATGTGGCGTCATACAATACGATGATTCTGTGGGTGGGTGCAAGTGGCGTCTTGCATTGATGTAGGTGATAGACGTATGTAAATCCTACATTTCTCTGGTAGTAGAATATCTTGACACACATGACATGATTATCTGTTGCATTGCACTGATTTTGGAACTTATATTGTATATTGCTTTTAGAACTTATATTGCACATGTAAGT